CTAGTGGAACAAATGCTCAGGGTAACAATCCATCCAAAACCAAACTCCAAATTATTTCAAACCTCTTACACATATATGTGCGACTACTAAATCTGAATCGAACTCTTCGATTTGACCCAAGAGTTATAAAACTCATTTTGAACTCTTGAAAATCAGAAAGTTTCTTGTTTGCACATTTATCTTTCTTTAGTTCTCAATTTTCATTGGATGCAATTCAATCATAGTGAGTATTGAGCATAACCTTGGGATTGCCAATGGTTTCTTGGACTAGCACCAACTTTTGCTCGACTTCAAAAGGTGTCATTATTTCTCGTTTGGGCTGGGCATCATGTTAGATGGAGGTCGAGAGACAACCTTAGTTTTGGGGATAAATTTAAAGTGGATATATAATTTTTAAATGAATGAATTTAATAATATTAATATTAGATAAACGTGGACGCATATAGTACTTTTATAAAATTTAAAATTTTAATATGGATGAACTTATGGTGTAATAGATATATAAAATCGGTGGACGGAAAGAACGGTACCCAAAATAAAAACATATTATTTCACAAATTCAAATACCTGATAATTGTACAAAAAGATGAATGATAATAATTCAAAACAGAATTGAAATGGGATTAGTACTATCATTAGGCTAATCTAAGTTGTATTATTTTTGGATATGGTTCTAATGAATGAACTACTTTTAGTCAACTCTCGAAGGGGTTTATTCGTAAATCTAATTAAGTTATAAGCAAATCCTCCAAATATGGTCCCAATAAGTGGGCCGAATATATAAACCCAGAGTCCTCTATAAGTATGCTTTACAATGGCTGGGCCTATGCTTCTTGCTGGGTTCATTGAGGCTCCAGAAATCGGCCTGCAGATTAAATAGATAATTAAAAATAATATATTGTTAAAAAAATTATTTTAATTTTTTTTGTATTGTCCAATCACTTCACAAAACACAGTATCGAGACATTAACGTACCCGGCAACAAACACGTTTAACATTATAGTCATTCCAACAGCTAAGCCAGCAAGATCTCCAATCTACCTCTCAAGAAGATAAATAAACAAATTAGGTAAGCAAGCATGAAAATTTTACGGGCGGCTCGTTCGGTAGTATGAAATTTAGAGCATCGAAATAATACATTTAGTCATTTTACCAATATTTCTAGTATTACGTACCGCTCTACTATCTGTTGCAACGCCAGAAATGTTGAACATTAAGAGGAAGGAGATAATGATTTCTATAGTGAGAGATTGTCCATTTGATCCGACGGGTAAGGTGCCAAAATAAGCTTCGGAGGTGACGTCAAACATGATAGCCAAAGTGCAACTTGCAAGGATTGATCCTATCAATTGCGCTATTATATATAACGGAACCTGCAAATCATGGAACATTACTATATCTGGTGGTGATTCGAATTATCAATAGACAATAATGCAACTTTTTGTTTAATATGCAACATGAATCCAATAAAATATTCAGTGCAAATTCAACACATGGAACATAATAAATGACGACGAAAACCCACGAATTTCTTGCACGATATGATCGTATTTCAAACTTATCAATTGCCATCCTGTTTTAACTACATGAAATCAATCAATTTTACATATTAAACATGCCTACTGCATTGATTAGTACCTCTTTCCATGGAAAACGGCGGAAGATGGCGAAGGTAATGGTGACCGCAGGGTTGAAATGAGCCCCGGATATGTGCCCTACAGAGTAGACCATGACCATCACAATTAGTCCCCATGTCGCACAAATGCCTGGGAATGTGACCGTGCCACCATACAATTTATTCACCACAACGGCGCCACACCCCGAAAATATAATAAAATATGTGCCGATCACCTCTGCTATCACCTGGAAAACATCTAACATGTCACACGTCTACTGCATTTTTTTCATGCTCGATTAGACATGATTGAAAGAGACATATTATGCATGAATATGAAAAGTCGAAGACTATTGAGACTCGAACCAAAAAGTTTTGCGTAGGGTATTTATAAATGGGATCTAACCTTTTGCACGAGAGTTACGATTGAAGCCGACGTACAGAAGCCTTCTTTAGCATTGGATTGGAACGTTGAGGTGTCTACTCCTTCTTCCATTTTTGAGATCTCCATATCTTCGATTGCCATAATTCACAAGTAAAGACGTGGCCTTGTAAATGTACAACAGATTTTTTTATTTTTAAAGGATTTTATTTTCCTTTGCTACTTTGTTTCAATGAGGATTTTCGGGGAAAATAAAAAAGATAAACAGTCCTCGGAGTGGATAACAATTTTATTGTGTCATTGGTGGATAACGATGAACGAGTCCTCCGAGTTTTTTGATGGATTATCCTTAATTGTCTGAGTTTACGATGCATTATCTGTTTTGTCATGTCATTAATTGAAATTTGCAAGACTTCTACTGTAAAATATAAAAAAATTTATAATTATAGAATTTTATTAAATTGTGCATCGACGAGAGTATTAATAATTTAAGAAGATTGATATAAACATATAAATATTTTAAAAATTATCCTTTCGAGTGTTTTACAAAAATAAAAATTAAAAATCTTTTGATTTTCTTGATTCCACCTTGTCTCCTTGTTTGCTTTTCTTGGTTTCACCTTCAAATTATCTCCAATATTCTTCAAGAACTTACAAATGTGCAACAAGGATTGATAATTAAACCCAATACAATTGGTTATTTATAATGTGAAGTGAATTATACTGTTTTGTGAGAGGAATTTAATGCATTGGTTGATGATGAAGTTGTGTCAAAAAATGATTGGACAACGGAACAGTCAAATGAAATTTTGCCACGTGGCGTTTATGTAATCTTGCATGTTATCCAAAATGTTAGTGTAGCATGATTGATTTAAAAAGAAACTTCTTTTCAATTTTAATCCAGATACGTCACTTTAATTCCTAAGGCACCGAAATATTAATTAGCAATTTGATCTCAAGCACTGATACCTTAAAGAACTTAATTTAGTGATCGAAGTCCATTACTCATTCAGGATTAAAGTATTACATACAAAAATAAGTAAAACTAAATTAACTTGGTCAATTTCAAAAATTAAATCTCACGTGATCTAGTCCATTACATTCTCAAATGTACACTTAATTTTGTTACCAAAGTCAAAGATTAACTTTAATAAAATTAAGATGATCTTACATATAAAAAAAAAAAAAAATTTAGATCGAATTATAAATTAAATATTTTCGTGTTTTTGACGACATTTGTCATTTTTCTCTGTTTGTTTTTACTTGCCACTATTGGTTTCAAATTATTATAATTAAAACATCTATTGCCGGTGATTCTTCTGAATTGACAGCTGCTTTCAAGTACCCAAAACCTCGTATAGGCATTAAGCTCAATTTGTGTCAAACGGTGTTATTGGGCCACACAAAAATTTTGGACTAGAATTGGTGGGGGTGCGCCAGGCCCGTGCTGTAGTGCAACGCATGGACGACGCTCGAGGGCCCGAGCAGCAAGCTGCCCATTGGACCCTCCCCCTTAAAAAATTAATTTAATATCGTGTGGGCCGATGGCCCACATATCAGATATTAAACTGATAAGAACAGATACTACACTTGATCTTAGCCAAAAGGCCGAGAAAGGTATGCTTTTCTTTATGTCGGCCCGTCCAGTTTATAGCCACCTCCTGCAACTTTGTTTACTTTGACTACCGATGTGGGATGTGAAATGGAAAAACCTTGCAAGTTATTCTTCTTCTTCTTTCACCTTCAGAATGATCATATTTTCCGTAACCTCCAAGTTCCTCAACCAAATATTATTAATAAACCTTTTATCAGTCATTTTTGAGTGGCTTCATAATCCACACAAACAAACGAACAATTAACATTATCAGAAAAATATACTGTTTCTTTGAGGAAGAAAACCCTTAAAAACTTGCTAAAAAGTTAAAGATCAAAATCAACAGTTAATTTTAACAAAATATTCGACGAGACCCATAATTTTTCAATCATACTTTTATCAAACAAGCCGTTATTAAACTTCTTGTTGTCTGTACTATGAATATAAACATATTCTTTGTTCATTTTCTCGTTTATATTTTGCATATATCCCGATTTGATGACCTCTGCCCAACAACGTGCTGCCCTGTTTCTCTTTGGGGTCATAACATAAATTATTATATTTACGACTGAAGAGGATAAAGATAGAATCCGCAAGGATCCATATGACTGGAACTTTTGAGGTTTTATGACTGTTGTCATCATTAGTTCAGGAAATGGAAATGGCGGGCTTTACGGAAATTTTTGTTATTTTGCGGAAGTGCATGCATCATCTGGACAGGGATGTTATTTCAAGAACACGGTTAATAAAACCAAACAAGAATTTGGAAAGTGCTGTCAACTGTTAAAAACAAGGGATTTGGTTCCACATCCTGTGCTATAAAGCAAGATAAATCCGTGTACATTTGTATTGCAAACCGTGTCCAAACTCATGGCTAAATCCGCCACTGCTTCTTTATGACCCCCTATAACCTGAATGTATTGAGGTAGTATGTCAAACAAGTTAGGCCAAAGCTACAAAGTATGCTATGCTATTATTACAGGAAGAAGTTGAAGAACACAATTTTGACACTCAAAGAAGCACATAAACAAACTTAGATATTTATAATCAAATTCAAGCCTAACAATCTTGAATAATCCAAAATAGTAAAAAACTAAAAATTAATGTATACTTCAAATCTTCTGGGATGTACTTTTTCCAGATAACAATTGAATCGAACAAGTGGAGCTTTTAAGGCCAATACATTCATATTCAAACATGTCCATATGCAACAACATTCGAAGATAATTTTTGATGTCACATTTACAGCCTTATATTAGTAATATCATGTCTAAACGAATTCACCTATCGTCGCTCCTATACCTGTCTTGCCCTGCTTTAGAAATTGGTTTGAAGGAAGTGAGGAACGCGCAGAAATTCCCACAAAACAATTATAAAAATAAATTCTAAACTACAATTTTGGCATCAAACAAATCCCATCAAGAAAATAAGATAATCAGCATCTTCATCCTGATAATTACAACATATACTTAAATCCTATAGGAAGTTTACCACAAGAATATTGCTTCAGAAGTATAGACAAAAACCTTTACTTCTCGTACAACTTCCAATACAGAGTATTACACGAAGTAGAGAAAACTAGAAAATTACTATATTTTCAAGTCCTAAAAATAATTCAGTTTATTAACACTTACCAGTCACCCCGTACCAACAACAAAGGCCTGGACTGGCATTTAGTGCTATATGTTTTTTTTTTTCTATAGACAATTTGATCTCACAAACTGAGCAATGCAGGGGAACCTCAAGCACAAAGTACAATACGTTAATACAATCACTTCAATGAAACTTCTGAAGCACAATTACTAATAGGCAGATCAGCTGGAGTGCATACAAGAGCCCGTTGCTGTAAATGTTTTAAACTCTGCTCCA